GCCCTCCCGCCATGAGCCATGGCTCCAACTCCCTGCCCCACCCCACCCAGGCAGCCCCTACTGCCAACCCACCCCTCACTGCGGAAGGCGTTGATCTGCACACAGCCCCCACAATGCCCCTTCCCTTCCACCACACCAGACTTACCAGCTGGAGGTAGTTCTTCACGCTGCCCAAGTGCTGTGTTGTGGCTGCACACAGCACGAGCATTTATTGGCCAAATAACTGGCCTGATATGGCCAATTTTCTTTATATTGGTACCAATCTGATGTCAGATTGATGTATTGGTGTGCCTATATACAAAATTCAACCTAAATTTATCACAGAGGCAGGTCATGCCAGACTGACCCAATATTTTTGTTTGGCAAGATATCTTTAAGAAAAGAGAAAAAAAAGGAAAGAAATCAGTTAAGGAAATACAGAAGATACAGTCTACCTAGTTTTCAACAAACCATTTGAGAGAACATCACATAGGGAATTACTAGTAAAATTGGAGAAAATGGGGATTAGTACAAGAAGGTAGGCAAACAATAGGTTATGTTGAAAGGGGAACTATCAGGTTTGGAGGGCGATTACTAGTAGGAGTTCCATAAGCACTGCATGTGTACCCAACTTTAAATGACTTTGCCACAAGAACCAGAGATATACTAATGACTAGGGTTACCATATTTCCAGTTGCCCCTCACTCCCAACCCGCAACAACCTCTCCTCCATCCCTGCTGCTGCCCTTTGCTCCTGACCCACAGCCCCCTGCTCCCCCCCACTCCTGCAAGCATCTCCCAGCTGTTCCACCCCTGCGAGCATGGGCACCAGTGCAGCCCAGCCACGCAAGTCCCTGCTTCCCCTCCCCAACTAGAGAAGCAAGTGCCTCCCCTGCCTGCTGCGGCCCAGCGTGGGGAAAACTTCAGTGCTGAGCAGAGCACAAATCTGAAATCTTGGACAGTTGTTGGTATTTTAAAAGCCATCAAGACAGAGCTGGGAAGCCCCCAAAAGAGGATATGTTTGGGAAAACTCGGATGTATGGTAACCCTACTATTGATGTTTGCTGACAACAAATTGGGATTTATCATCAGTACAAGAGAGGATCAGATGATTATACAGAAATAATTGGTAGATCTTAACTACTAGTGTAATTATATTTGGGATTAAATTTATAGTAACAGATAGAAGGTCATGCACATGGAGATTAAAAACAATAGTTACTGCTATTAACTGAGGCCTCATCAACTGGATATAGCAAAAAAAAAGATAATGTATGTATTAACCATTAACAGGATGAGTAAGCAAACACAAGATGCAAGGGGTGGGGGGAGGGGAGGAAATCAAATATAATCCTACTGTGGATAATTATGGTCACCCATATTCAGAAAGGCAAATTCAAACTGGAAAAAGGACAGAAAGGGGTTACTAGGATAATTAGGGGAAATCCAAGAACCTATCTTATAAGAGCAGGCTACAATATCTTTATTTGTTTAGCTTAGCAGCTAAAGGCTGAGAGGTACAATTACTCTCTAGAAATTTATTGAGGAAGTTTACTCTCTCCCTAACATCACAGATGGAAAAGAAAATAACTCTTTAAGACAAGCATAATGCTGGTAGGAGAACATACAGCTACGAAGTCACCATAAATAAACTTGGACTAGGATTTAAATCATCACAACATCCACGATGAGCAGCCTTCTATAAGAAGTAGTGCAGAGCAAACACCCTAGGTTTTAAGATGAACATGAACAAGTTTATGAATGGGATTATATGATATGGTTGCCCGCAGCTGTAGGAAACTAGGCTTGATAATCCAGAAGGCACTTCCAGTCCCATGTAGTTTGTGCTTGTAATTAGGAATATGGTCAGTCAAACCAAAAGTAAGTGTTAATTACTCTTACATTTCTCCAACATATCGAATATTTGACTATTTTTAATTCCCTTTTTACCTGACGTTCATTTTCTTTGTTGAGAGGACAGAAGGGTTGCATGAAGATTTCCTTGATAAAACGCTTCGACTTGCAGCGCTTAGAGAGTTGCATGGTGAATGCCGCAGGTTACCAGGAGTACAGGTAGCAGAGAACCTGCCCTTTTGGGGATGTGGGCTAAATAAAAATTTTCTGCCACTCGAACCTCTCTAGAAACAGAAAGCAAAGTAGAGATGATTCACTTTAAAATTTTGTTTAGCACATTTGGCAAGGATTTAATATTTGCATCAGTAATGCTGCCTGTAGAGCTGGAGCAATAGAAACTAAATCAGAAGGACACACCCATCTGGCTTTATGCAGTCTATACTTCAAAAATAAAAGGGATGATATTTAATGGAATTAGAAAAACAAGGTTCTTTGAAAAGCCCTCACCTTGGTACTGCAGTGTGGGGTTCCTTTTTCAAATGCCTTTTGATGGTTAAATTTTTTAGCCAGTACCTGCCAAAACAACAAGAGGTCTTAAATGTTCACTCATTCTTTCTTTGTTCTGAAAGTTACACTTTGCTGACAATTTATTTTCTTTTCATTGGTATGCACTTCTGTGAACATGCCTGCAATGAACCTGGAAGTGGCACCATTTTTTAGATCCCACATGTACACAGTTAAAACACAGGATCTGAGACTGAGGAGCATCACCCTCCCTGGATTTTAGAAAACTCTATGGAGAGAAATGATCTTGTAATCAATCTTTACCTTGACCTCATTGATGGAACTGCCCAAGTTTTCAAGAAGTTTATTTTTCCTCTCAATGTAGTCATCAATAGACTCCATTTTCTTGAAATGAGCCTCATGCAGCTTCTTGAAATCTAAAAAGGTTACCAAAATAACAAAGAGAAAACTTAGATACCCTGCAAGGCCTGAGAGTACAGATCATGAGCGTCAGGCCTAAGAAATAATTGTAAAGAATTACAGAAAAAACAGAATAAAGTAAACCTTGTTCATGGATAGACTGGTACGGACTGTAGGGATTGTGCCTCCCTCTGTAGCAGTCCTCTTCCTTGGTTCTCCCAAGTGCATTTTAACAGCCCTTGCATTAGTGGGACATTGACAGCTCTTGTCCCCTGAAGGCTTGGGATGCTGGTGGGAGCCCTGGGCTAGAAGGGCAGGGACTGTTCCAGCCACCAGAAGCCCCAGGGAGGGGCTGCATTTGCTGGATGCCTGGCTCTGCGGGTCCCCCCACAAAGCACAGGGCCCACGGCAGTCGCCCTGATTCGGACCATGACAGCAAGGACAGAGCACGAGGGCAAGGCTAGAGCTGCTGGCCTTTCCGCCCCTCTCCCCCCAGCTCTGCTCCTTGCAGGCTAGAACTCTGCCAGCCTGCAGAGCTCTTTCCAAAACTGCAGAATCTGCAGGTTTCTCCATTAAAATGAGAAATCCACATTTTTCTCTGGTAAAGGGGGAAATCTGCATTTTTCTGTTTTTCCCTGGAAGATGGAAAACATGGATTCCTGGCCATAACTGTAGGGCTAATTAGCAAATAGATCCTTTATGGGGGTGCAGGTATCTGGAATACACACAGAGTAGTGCTGAGCTGTGGGGTCACCATGACTTGAAATGCTGTTGACTCCGCTAGGGCCCAGCCCAAAGAACTATATGGGAATCCATGAGCCTCTTGGGTTTGGACTAATATGATGATGGGCTACACTACATCTACGACAGCCTCCCAATGGATCATGAATGCCACAGGCCCCCAGCGGCTAGGGGGCACAGCAAGCTCCTGCAGGTGGCGGTGGCACTGTTGGCAGCGGGAGCATGGCAACAGCAAGTGGAGAGCTCCCACAGGCAGCCACGGCACTGTTGGTAGTGGTGGGGAGGCGAGCGCTGACTAGTGGTCAGCGACCACCTGCAGATGCCACCAGCCGCATCAGTGGTTGCCAACAGCAATTGCAGTTTGCCCACAGATGGCAGTCTCAACTATATAAATTATGGTGATCGGGGATTGCTCCCAGGCTTCAAGGTTTCCAGCCTTGGGGCTTGCACAAAAGATACTCCTAAATGCATGGCAGGCTGAAGAGTCTGGGAGGTAGGATACTTGCCAGTGGTAGTGTCACAGACTTGAATGGATCAAGCTCTGCTCATTCAACAGAATGAGGAACTGATTTGGCCCAAGCCATGAAGTTAAAAAAAAAAACAAAAACAAACAACCCCCCCCACAAAACCACCTGTGCTAAGACTGGTAGCAGTTACCAAAAAAGGTAAGCAGCATGAATTCTGGATTAACTAAATCTGTAGATATTATACACAAATTACTACAGGTATGTCTAATTCAAGGTTAATGTTTTCTTCTCACAAAGTTGCTTCTCTCTTCTTGGTGCTTAAGGATTGCGGGGGGAAGGGGCTGCAGGGGGAAGAAGTTGGTGTAGGGGGTGGAAACAGAGGACAAGGAAACCAACTGACTTACCCAGATTCAAATTTCCCTGATATAACAGTAGGAAAGGAAGAAATTCAAGGCAAGCCTCCAATAATTAGATTCTGTACCTGGAGAATTATAACAATATTTATAACATTTTCTAGATATAGAATCTAATTATTGGGAGCTTGCCTCATCCTGTATTTAGGGTCATCTTATATTTGAGTAAATGCGATAAAATAAAAAAAAAAAAAACATACTGGAGCTGGGACAGGTGCACTTTTGCTTTATGAAATAGAACAGGAGGTTTACCCCAACCAACCTCTGCTTATTTTCTTAATTATATACATATACAAATGTAGACACATACATATGCACATGTGTACAAGAGAAATAATACTCTCTCATATGTATCTGGTCTTTTATACAATAAGATAGTGGTTGGCAATGTTTTTGGGCAGTGCCATTAATACCTACGACCTAGACTTGTAAGATAGTGTGCTGGGGCGGATAGTGGGGGAGCCATAAGGGCCTGATCCTTGTTGGGGCAGGGCAGTTCCAGCTCCTTCCCTGCTGTCCACCCTGATGCATGTGTGCCAAACAAAATGCCTTCATGTACCATGCTCTGGCATCCATGCCAGGGGTTACCTACCCCTGCAATAAGAAATTCATTGAAGAAATAAGCTAGAGTCCTTTCATACATAAACAATAAGTCTATTTTTAGAGCTTGCAGAAATAAAGAATAGCTTACTTGGTGTGACTGATTTCATCCCTTTTTTCCCAGACTTAGACAGACAGCCAACATGTAGAGGGATCTGCCCATCTGCAGGATGGGATGGAAGAGCATCATCTGTTGTAAATCACATTAGATGAGATTGTTAGAAATACTGGAAAGTGAGCTACTGCCATTGGAACCCAAGTTGGGTTTTTTTGGCTCCATGAACCTTTGAAAGCATGCATGTCAAAAGGTATTCATTCCTTTAATAAGTGGTGCTGTACTTTGTGGAGATGAGATTGTGATGTTCGTGTCTAATCTCAAGTGGGTACAGAACTAATAGAACGCCTTTGCCAACTGTCAGATCAACCTAGGATCTCCAAGTGAAGCAGGATTATTTCCTTCTTCTGGAAGAGCTATTACTAGTGGTGATACCAGCTCTTACCAGTGGAAAGTTTCTTGCCTGTACAAGTGTGCCTGACTGTCCTTGCAATTCAAATGTAGCAGTATTTTACTTATGCACAAGGAAGATTAAAGGAGCCATTGGACATCACACTTCCAACCCAATTTAGGTAGATCTTTAGTTACAATAAAGTTGAGAACCACTAGTCTAACTAAACATTTCTTCCATTCTCATATGCTGACCTGATATTCACTTCAATTATGTGATTGTTATTTCACTAACTCTCAGGACACTAATGATTTGGACATGGAATATCTTCAGTACAGTTTGACATTTCTGCCTGCTTAAAGCACTACCTTTGATGAAAGACTTCTTGGGGCATCCACACACAGTCATTTCAAGTATTTAACATTGCTAAGATTGCCAAGTAGAACATAACCTGCCCAGCAACTCAGATTTTCTTTATAATGCACAAAAACCCCCCAGTTCATATACTCACATTTTAAAGATGCATGTCCCTTCAACCTTCTTCCATGGCACAACTTTTTGGGCTATCAGCCCACACATTTAGCAATACATGGACCATGTATTTACAGAAATGTTAAAACCTAAAGGTTTGTTTGAAGTACCCACAAAGTAAGACTTTACAGGAATTGAAAGTAAGGAGAAACTGTAACAGGAACCAACTTCTGTTGGCTTTACATTGTGCTCATTCCTGCCTCCTCCAGAGTTTTGTTCTTACCTGACACTTCATTTTGGAGTATTTTCAGTCCCATGTCAGCTTCACCTGGGGGTGTTTCATTTTCTTTCATGTCTGAAACATTCTAAAGTTTAGAAATATTTTGTTAGACCACCTAGTCAAGATATTCTGTCTGTTATTTGAGGAGAAATCTACTTTGGAAAAAGTATAGATACAGCCTTCTGGTGGACAGGCAGTTTATACACAGTATCCACTGGTTATTAGACATCAACCACATATTAGCATTATGACCTATAAAAGAAGGTTCCAAAAGGACCGTCTTATAGGACTTTTACACTGCTTATTAGAATTTTACTTTAAAGAATCAGTTGCTTTTTAATCATAATCAACGAAGTTTGAAACTACACACTGTGTACAATGTTCTCTCCACTTACTATTAGAATCAAGTCCAGACATACATATGTTTGTTGCACAGCTAGATTGCTATGCAATAGCTAGTGATTACTGAGTATATATGAATTATGGTGTCTGCATAGACTTTTTACTTTCTCTTTACTTTTCCTTACTTAATTAATATCAAGTGGCCTGCCTGATGAGATTCTATTAAAGAGGTGGACACTAACATCAAAAAGCTGTGTTGTCAGCATGGCTTAGAAAAATTTGGCAAAACAAAACTAAACTAGAATGGCAAAGCCATGTTTTACTGCTTTAGGTGCATCTTTTTGGCCTTTACCGGCAGAGAAACGTTCTCTCCAGTTGACAGTTATAGCAACAAAAGTCCTAGTTAATGCTAGGACTTTCCATGCCCATTTATCACAATATAACAGGTATTCTCCCACCTACCCCTCCTTTAATAAATTTCACCTGCCAATATACAAGGGAAAACATACAAAGTAGATCAACCATATACAAAAACTTCCTAGATGGAAGAAATTGTTTCTTTCAGTTCTAGCAATTTTAAAATGTTAATATTTCACAAGGAACATCTAGTGTCATGACTTAGCTGAAAATATCCCTTTAATCTAGTGATACCCAACCTTCTGGCACCATGGGTTGGAGGAGTGGCATAGCATGGGAGAGCGTACCAGATTCCATACAGGGTCAGCAGATGAGGTTGGTCTGCAGGTACGATCCAGTGTGGCAGCCTAACCCCACATGCCCAATTAAAGCCACGTTCCTGCACATTGGACCAATCTAGCATGCAGGGCCACATCATCCAGCCCATGGGACTCCCCACAGGTCCAGAAATTTGGCAGCAAGGGAGTAGCAATTAAACACTGCCATCACTCCCCTTGCTGCCAAATCTGTAGGCCTATTGGGAGCCCCACAAGCTGGATGACACTGCTCCATGGGCCAGATTCAGGCCATGGGCTAGAAGTTGAGTACTACTGCTTTAATCTGTTTTTCAAACTGACCAATATTCTTAATATTTAGGTTAAAGTGTGCAAATCATCTTCATCAGCTATATCAGTATTACCCAATCCTGGAATACTTAAGGTTATAACATTATTTTAATTAATTGGATTGCAAGATTTGAAGTTCTGCTGGCTACCTTTGAAACAGGAGTTCTGGCAAGCTGCAGAGGCAAAGATAAAAGCATGAAAATTAACATAACTGAGTAACTGGCTGAAAGGCAAGCCCACAAGCAGCACACTACTGGATGTACCAGGAACAACAGAGTTCCACTTTTATATTGGAACACTAGGAGAATTTGCAATACAGATGTGGGACAGAACAAAAACTCTTAATGCATTCTAAAAGAGCAAAGCACAGGGAAAATATCTTATAAGGGATAGCACAGGAGAAAATCCTATAGAATTAGTTGCTGACCTGCCTATCAAAGTAAATGAGAAGGAAAGTCTCAGCACTCACAGGACCAAAATAAAGGAATAACAGGGAGCATGTACACAATCACCCTATGGCAATGTAGCAACACGCTACAGTGACATAGCAATCATATGGATCTACACATGATCACTGGCTACGCTGCTATAGTGGCACACTACTACAGCGACGTAGCTGGTGAATCTAACCGTGCACTGCCCATACACTGCAGTATAGGCAGCTCCTGTGCTGTTTTAGTACTTCCCCTAAACAAATAAAACACTGCGCAGTACTAACATCACCATATGGTGACATGTAGACATGCCCAGTGTCCCAACAGCTTTGCTGTAACTTGACCTGGAATAGTGTATGCAGTTCAGGTCCAGGCTACAGTTTGAGCAGAAGATGGATCATTTTATTAATCATAAAATTAAAATTTAAAAAGTTAATAACTTAAGTAAAAAAAAAACAAGTTGTCAGCCTTAGAGAAAACAATGGCCATGTTAAGAAGGGAGATTCTTAAACAATAAATACATACATACATAAAAACAATGGTACTGTTTTGATACTTGTTAGTCACTACTGAAAACGTTTGCAATCAAACAGAAAAAGACCATTACATTCTAAAATTTCTTTAAATTCAGCCAATGTATAAGACAAAGCTAAAAACTTGACCACATTAAAGAATTAAAAAAAAGAAAATCAGTTTGACCTCAATCCCTGGGAAGATTTTGGAAAAAATTATCAAATAAGCTATTCTTGATGGGTTAACAGAAGACAACATCCTGAGGGATAGCTAGCACAAGGTTTGTTGCGGGTAGATCTTGCCTGACCAATCTCATTTCCTTCTATGATCAGGTGACTTATCACCTGGACAAAAAGGGAATAGGTTGATGCCATATATTTGGACTTTAAAAAAGCCTTTGACCTGGTGTTCCATGATGTCATAGTTTCATAGTTTCTAGGGTCAGAAGGGACCTGAGTAGAACATCTAGTCCCACCCCCTGCCATGGCAGGAAAGATTACTGGGGTCAAACGACCCCAGCAAGGTGTTCATCTAGCCTCCTCTTAAAGACCCCCAGGGTAGGAGCCAGCACCACTTCTCTTGGAAGTTGGTTCCAGATGGAAAAACTAGGCAACTGTGGCCTCTACTACTCCACAGTCCGATGGATGAGGAACTGGCTCCGAGGTTGGACCTAGAGAGTGGTAGTTGACCGAGTCAACATGGCACTCAGCGACTAGTAGTGTCCCCCAAGGTTCCGTTCGCAGACCTGTACTCATTACCGTCTTCATAAACCATCTGGATGCTGGTGTCAGAAGCAGACTAGCTAAGTTTGCTGACAACACCAAACTTTGGGGAACAGTGTCTGTCCCAGCCACCAGCGGAGGGTTTGGGATTGAGAGTATGGTTGGGGGTAGAAAGCTAAGAAAGGTTTATTGACTTAACAAAAACACAACTACACATAGTATACTAAGACGGATAATGACAGACAATAATAATTCACGTCAGCAACTTATTGGCAGTCCCCTCTGATGCCTGATGCATGAAAAGTTTCTCTTTCCACAAAGCTCAGCAAAGTCAGGCATCCCTAACCAGCACTGCCCAAGGGATACCAGGAAGGACCCTGGTATTCAGTCCTTGGGCTCCTCGAGATCCATGGGCCCACTGATCCAGGTCAACAGCTAATTAGTCCCTTTCACAGAGCTGTATCTTCCTTCTGAATGATTTCCATGTGTGCCAGCCAATTTATAACTTCTGAACTATGCTGATAACTTACAGCCATTCAGATTCTTTTTACTTCAACTGTCCTTAGACTGACCAATAGCAGTACAAGCCTTGCATTCCTTCGAGAAGGTTAATTTTAATTATGCCACAGGGCCTTACTGCTTCAAGGCTTTGCTAAATTTACTAGGCCTTACTTTATACAAGGCCTTACTGCATCTTAAAAACTTTAATTAGGCTCTTAGAAATGACATATAGCTTAATATCTGAACAAATGACAGAAAAACACTTGATCTAATCTTCATAGAGCCTTCAGCAAGCACCTTTATCACACAGACATAATTGCAGCTGTCACAAGTGTCCACACTTGAGGATAGGCTGGTGATCCAGACCAACCTCAATAGGCTTGCAAGTTGGGCGGACGAAAACCTGATGGCATTCAGTATGGAGAAATGCAAGGTGCTTCACCTCAGGAATAAAAATCCACATCACACTTATAGGTTTGGCAATGCTACACTTGCTACCACCATGCCCAAAAGAGACTTGGGGGTCATGACTGACCACAAGATGAACAGGAGCCACCAATGCGATACCACAGCTGGCAAAGCGAACAAAACTCTGACTTGCATCTACTGATGCATCTTGAGAAAGATCCAGGAAGTTATCCGCCTGCTGTTCTCGGCCTTGGTGAGGCCGCAGCTGGAGTACTGCATCCAATTCTGAGCTCCGCAATTGAGGAAGGATGTAGAGAAGCTTGAGAGTCCAGAGGAGAGCAATGCGCACAATCAGAGGTCAAGAGAACAGGCCTTATGAAGACAGGCTGTGAGCCATGGGACTCTTCAGCCTGGAGCAGCGCAGGCTTGGGGGTGACTTGGTGGCAGCCTATAAAGTACATAAAGGGTTTGCATAAGGGTCTGGGGAAACGCCTGTTCACCAGAGCACCCCAGGGGATGACAAGGTCCAACAGTCACAAACTCCTGCAAGACCGTTTGAAGCAGGACACAAGGAAAAACTTCTTTACTGTCCGAGCCCCCAAAACCTGGAACAGACTCGCCCCAGAGGTGGTGCAAGCACCTACTCTAGACACTTTCAAGAAACATTTGGATGTTTACCTTGCTAGGATCCTTTGACCCTAGCTGACTTCCTGCCCCTTGGGTAGGGGGCTGGACCCGATGATCTTACAAGGTCCCTTCCCACCTTAATGTCTATGAAATGAGCTAGGGTTTCTACAGTGATAGAACTTTTGGAATATATATATATATATTCCTATTGTTGCTAAATATGGACTTTAATAGAGCACTCTTCCGAGACATGTATTTTAGGGGTGCACTGATAAAGATTTTTGGACCGATACCAACAGCTGATTATTAACCAGCTGTATCAGCTGATACTGATCCGACTGGCAATGTGCAGCCTGGCAGCTTGGACAGCAGCATCCGGTCGGTAAGTCTATGGGGGGGGGAGCTGGGAGGCCCCACGGTGATGGAGGAAGTGGGGCTGAGGCAGGGGTAGGCGCTGTACAGCCAGGGCAGGGCGCGGGACAGAGCCAGTTGTGTCTTATCCAGGGGGCACAGCAG